ACTCATAGCTACTTGCGTCTCACAGTTCCAAAAGTAATTTTTAGATCGTTCCTGAGAGAAGCCCAGCTAAACCTCCCTTCCCCCCCAAAGCAGCCAAGGGTACAGTTAGGTGCTGCGAAACGTCCTAGAGCAGTGGTTCCTTATTTTCCATGTACTTACTTCGAAGTCTTCTGTCTATCTCCTAGTCGAACGTATATCCGGGATTTGGTATTCTTGCGTTGAGCAGAGATTTTCCTTTAGCTTCCTTTTTCCTTACTAATTCTTTGATAAAACTGACAAAAACAACAGCAACTAAACAATCTTACTAGTATCGTTACGCAACCATTATGCTCCATCAATTACCATATCATAGCCCCGTATTAACTACATAGTACTGCAGCAATGGGCGATTTGTACCCGCAAGGCCTCAAAGTCGAGCCTGTGAAGGTGAATGCGCAATCAGCACTGATTTTACTAATATCCCTACCATTTCGGTCTTTGAACTCAAAACTCAGGCCTATCACATGAGTTTTAGTTTCAACTGGACACCAGCAGTATGGAACATCGACGCAGTGCCTACTCTATATGGTCTGAGTGTGGCCCATGCTTCAAACATCATTCTCACGTGAGCTGACAGTTCATTCGGGAGTTTTAGATCTTGATCCTTCCTAAGGACCTTCTTCACCTAGTCAAAGTGCTCAGGAATGGATAAATGATTCAGGCAAGGTCATCTTGATCCATGGTCAGGAGGTGGTTTCAAGGCATCTTCAGACGGTAACGAGCAGGATCGTGGAATTTACATAATGGAAATACCTGGTGCAGCTCATCATCTCGATCTTCGTACTCCAAATACCTGTGACCCGAACTCAGTGAATAATGCTCGATTCCAGGTGAGCCTACGTTCATCGGATTTTCAAACGGCGTGAAGGTTCGGGTCCCGTACGGGGAGAGGGGAGGGGCACGATCCACCAAGCTTTCATGACTGTAGCGCAACTTCGTGTCTCTTTGGCCCTCCGCGACAATCATCATGAGCCCTTCCAGAGCATTTTTCAATGCTAAGGTCTGTACCATCATAACCATTCAAAAAAGACTTTTCGTGGATGAGGGAGTCTTTCAGAGTTTGTAACTCCCTTGTGTTTTGGAAAGCTCCAACTTCGATTCCTAGCACACTACGCGTGACTAAAAAACTTTTAAATGTCACCAGGCCGTCATTAAAGGACACTTCAGTGTTATTCGATACTGAAGCTATAAACAGAGAGTTTGCCCTTTCAACTCCCACGAACACAGCGAACATGACTGTGTGAATAACCTTACTTCCCATTCAATCCCTTGAGTTTCAGTTAAGCTGAACAGCTGGAGCCGTTTGAAGCAATACGACAGGGCCAGAGGGACTATAGTTCTGCAGAGGAAAACAATAGCAAGAATCAAGAGTAAAGGCTCGAAAAAGGGTGTCTACGTACTAACAGAGACAATACCAACATTCGTACTGTTATAGAGCTAGGCACCAAATCCCTTTTGTACCCATACAGTTACGCCTTCTCACCTCAACCTCACTCCGAAACGGACTTGTCACAAACCCTGCAGAGTACTGTAGTGTTCCTCGTTCTAGATCGTTGGAATATTGGACTGTTGGATTAATGGATGTCCTAGTCCACCAAGGCTCACTCCCCTACCAGCGTTTGCAGACTCCAACAGTGAGAACTGCACGGACGTCAACCATGGTTATCCATGGGGTCAAGCCGTAAGCAGCAGCTTGACCTCAACTACTGGATTTGCTATGCTCGTGCTTCTGTTGCGAAGTTTCTTCTTCTAAATTTTGGTTAATTTGCTTATTGATTTGCTTCTTTTTTACAAGCTCAATAATAAAAATTCATTGTTATTGTACATTGCGTTGAAATTGGTATCAAAAAGTGCAGATACATATCTTTGTAGATTCAGAGCACCTGACAATGAGATGGGAGCGATAATTGGCGCCCATTATCAACTGTTTATTTACTAATTTATTTATTCATTCATTAGACGAGTCCAAAAGGTGTACTGTAAAATAGGGAAATAAATCAATTACAAAACAAAAATCTAATTACTGAAAGGGGAAAATACGTTGAAAGTAAACAAAAATTCTAAACATAGAAAACACTAAATTGTACCTATGAGGATGAGATTTTTGACAATCAAAAGCGTTTACACTTTGGAGGATGAGAAATAAATCTTTTGACGTTGATCAACCGCATTTTTAGGATGTGCACTCCCCTCAGAATCATAGTAGGCTTTTGAATAGAGTATGTGATTATGTGATCTGTGCGATGATTTGGAGCGGTCAGCCAATGTATGTAGATACCAGGTTTTCAACTTCCTAAAGTTAACATCTCTAAGAAGAAAAATAGGAAGGCTTTGAGTGCCTAGGCGGGTAATTTTCCCATAGATTGGGCATTGACGTTGTGAATGTATCTGCGGGGACGTTTTATTGTTAAATTCATTTCCCCATTCCATGTTATTCCTTCCACGAGCTTGGCTGTCGCTGGATTTTTTTGGTTTTCTTTCTAGTTATACTCAACCCATGTTTGATACCTACCTTTTTTGTATCCACTTGATGTTTAAATGTTTCACTTACTCAATCTGTATTAGTAGTTTACGTTCAATGGCGCACGTATGTGCAATAAACAACTAAATAAAAGAATAAATAAATGAAACCTTATGCTTGGCCTTGAACTGTAATCGGAATAAGATTCACAGAAGCGAATATGTGAGAAGATGCTTTCGAAAAGCGGTTTGCAGAAAATGGTGACTAGCACTTGAATTGTCGCATCACAGCATGAACCATTGACTATCAATAACCTGATTCATTCGGCAGTCGGGGGTGGAAGGGTTGCATCTCATCTTCGTCAGGATTCCGTTACATTCAAAAATCCTTGAGGAACTGTGAGCACTGATATCGAAAAACGGCTTCAACTGAAGCGAATGATATACCTTGGTAAAAGCAGTCGGCTTCTTCACAGGTGCATATCGATGTTCCAGGTGAATAATTAGCAGGTTGGATCGCTTAAAGGCACAGTTCACGATAATTTTGAGGTACCCATTTTTAAACGAAAAGCGGAAGTATAGATCGGGATTAGTCTGTCGGTAGTGAAGAAGACGAGAGAATTCGCCGATTTCGATAAAGTATAGCTCCCCAAAAGTATGGAATTTAGAGGTTGGACGAGATTGTCCTGACGGAATTAGAATGAAGGAGTTATTCGGACGAGATTTCAGTTATTGCAATTGCGCAAAGTGCTAACTACATAAAGCCAGAACTGTATAGAACTGTCTTTCACTGTCACTATGAGTCATGACAAGTTGTTTGAACCTCCTGCATGGGTTCCCTTGTGATCGGTGCAACCTCTGCAATGCCGGTGAAACTCGCCCGGGGAGACATACGGGGCAATCTTTTAGCCTTAATAACTCCCTAACAAGGCCGTTTTCCGACCTAATAGTGCCAGATATGGTATTCGCGGGGGCCTCAAATTCATCCTGTGGGAGAATCACAGAAACCATTTTTATCGTGTTCGAAGAAGTCAGATGCCAGTACTGGAATGATGAAGAAGAATAGCGCATGGTTTTGAAAAGGTGTTGAAAGGATCGGAAAGCTGTGGGCCAAACACTCGCCAGACAAGGTAGCTTTACGGCACCAAATAGTCTTCACAGCCTACCCAAACAAAGTAGCAGGGCACAATACCCTGTATAATGATGGATAGAAAGTAGAAAAGGGGTACCACCTGCTTTATCAGATCGTTGAAAGCCTTGTCGCAACGGCAGAGGCGCAGTACAATGCCACTGAACCAGAGTGTTACTAGGAAAACCCGCACGGTCATATTTCAAAGTCCGAAAATCCTACAGGTGTGGTAGTAGCAACGAGACTGACTTATCCATTCTTCTTCCCTATAGCTGCCTTAGAGCATTAATTAGGAATGTTATCAATGATGCACCTTCGAGCAGGTGCCATTCCACAGGAGCCTTGCCCTGATTTGAAAGCTGAGGATACTGTAATTTGTAACATAGTGTCTACAGCTTCCGTCTCATGCGCTCTATCCGATAGAGAGAACCCTTTACAATCGAGGCTTGCTTTCAGCTGATTCCGAAAGCGGAGAGCGCCTCACGAATGTAACGTCTGCACGTCTCCGCTCTATAACTTCGGAACGTTTCTCACTTGTTGACCATACAGCAGCATTAGCATACAAAGGATCACTGACTACCATTTGAAAATAAAAGATACCTTTCTAAGTCAAAGCAGAATGGTTGACTTTTTAAAGAAAATAGAATTTTCAGATCATGACAATCTGAAAAGAGCTCCCAATCATCTTCTATCAACTTCTCAGCCATCACTGCACTGCGGCATCTCTTGCCTATCTTATAAATGTCCATTCGTTCCCGGCTGACCTGCTCCCCTTTTGATGGAAACTACCCACTGATTTTCGGTAGTTATAGCTGTGGTTTCATAGAAGGTATTGATGTTACAGGTAATGAAGCTGCCACAAGAGTCGGCAGTCAGCATTCTGTCTATTTGCCTTTTTTTGACAATCGCCAAAGCCAAAAATTTTTTGAACCATCACGGAAAGTGCAGCGAAAAGCCAAGCCTCGCTGCTAACAATAAATGGAATGTGAAGTGGATCGACGTGAAACTGGATCACTTCACTTATTCTGACACAAGAACATTTCGAATGAAGTAAGTTACTCATGCTTGTATTTCATATGGGTAAGGTACCCCATGTGTTACATGAGGAGGTTTTGCTGATGCTTACGTTTTTGTTGCAGTTTAAAGCATTCCCAGGTGAACAGGGTTCTTTTTAGGACACAATTTTCATTTTTTTTTGTCACTTTCTTTGCCATCCTTTATTCCCCATTCAAAAATGCTTGCTTGTTGTTATGTAAGAAATATTTATTTACAACTTTGTATTGAAATCTTGCATGCAATGCAAAAAAAGCTGTAAATGGTGGTTTAGCCTCTCTTGGTAACCGCGCCCCTGAACAAGATGGGAGAAAAGCGGCTGTCAGTCAGCGGTTTTATTCTTCCAAACGATGGTACCAGTACCTTTCCAGGCGCTTGTAGTATCAGTTCATAAACCTCTAAGGAATGGAATATGGTTGACCTGGGCGATTATCGATCCAGGGTTCAATGCCCGAACCATGTTTGTGTAGTAGTGCCCCCATGCCACTACACCATCACAAATGTGGTATTAGACTACAATTATCAGAAGAACTCGACTTAAAAAAATTCGAAATTCGACTTAAAAATTACATCCTGGAAGCTTGTCTCTGTTGTTCCAGATGGCTATGGAATAACACTTTCTACAAAACCGGAGGGCCAATTTTCATCTACACCGGAAATGAAGGTGACATCGAATGCTTCACATCGGCAACAGTTAGTCATGTGAATTCCAATGAACAACTGAGCACGTACCCGGGTCTATTATTCAGGGAATGATTTGGGATCTGGCACCCAGGTAGAATGCAGCTATCACGCTGAACATCGATTCTATGGCGAAAGTCAACCATTCGGCAACCAGTCGTATGCGGTTAGTTCCCTCCTGCTTTACCGAACTCATATTAGCTATCCTTTTCCTAAATTCTTTTTTTTTTCATTCCAGTCCATAAGAACCTGGTCTATTTGACATCGGAACAGACACTCGCCGACTATGCTGCCCTTATCTATGAATTGAAGGTGAAGTTTGAACGAGGTTGAAGCCAAAGTTTCCACCTAGCTAGAGTGATCAGCTCGTAGGGAATGTTTCAGAGCTCCTAGAACCTTTACCCCTAACTTGTATCTTCTTACAGACTCCAAACAACTCGTTGGGAGTTCATTACCCCAAGGAGACACCGGTAATAGCCTTTGGTGGTTCCTACGGAGGAATGTTGGCGGCATGGTTCCGAATGAAATATCCCCATTTGATCACAGGGTAAGAATACCGCGTTACTCCCTTGTTTCAGAACTGTATTACTATTTTGTAGGGCTTGGGCAGCTGGTGCTCCTTTAATTAATTTCAAAGGAGGTGGTGTTGATCAAGGGGCTTTCGACTCGATTACCACTAGAACGTACATGGATGCTGGCTGCAATCGGTTCATTGTCGCCAACAGTTGGAACGCCATTTTGAACCTTTCCTCTACGGGTGAGTGGGAAACCGTCTTAGTTTTTTTAATAAATTTCTGTAAAGCACCTAGCAATAAAATTCATTCATTGAAATCTTCTTATTTTGCCTTATACACTCATGTCACACTTTCGTGGAAAGGTAGTAGGCAGAGCGAAAACACAGCTGTACTGTAGTGGCTCATTCGTTTACTGTAACAGGGCTCGTATGTTTCCAGGCAAAAGGGTCATTTGGTTAATTTTCATCACAGCTAAACTTCTCAAAAATCGAAAGCTACTCGTGGGTACCCAAATGCCTGAAACAATAAGTGAGCCTCAATTCTCTGGACCCGCGGTAGAACCAATTATGGCAGCGCTTGGGTGTACCACTTTACGAATGATCCTTAAAGAATTTATCTTGCACTGAGTACATAGCTCGATCGTATTAGGGAAGTAGTGCAGTTGCAGGTGCCGTAAACGTGCATCGA